TTTTGGCTTCTTATCGCATATCATATAGCTGCTCGAAAAGGACGCGTTTAAATAAACTCTGGTAGCGTATTTTACGGATTTTTTAAAGTCAAATATAAGATTATTTCCCAGAAACTCTCGTTTATCAAATATATATATATGAACTCTAAATAAAACCGTAAAAAAATAAACCTACATAACCGTATACATTATATTTGAATACATAATTAAAATTTGTAGATTTGTTTTACAAAGAAAAAAAATATATATAAAATCAATACTTAAAACAAAAATAGAGTTTGAAGAAAATAATAATTAATTACAAATATTATGTGGAACCAAAGAAACCAAAAAATCAAAGAAATTTAGTTCACTCAAGTTTTATCCAAGTTAAAATGAAAAACTAATATGACTGAACCGGAGGATAATAGGATACACTTAGTAATCCGGCAGATTGTCTGACAATTCTTATAAAGCATTAGCCGAGTTATACATTAACAAATAACTTTACATAACACATTAATTAAAAACCTCCCTCATACTTAACTAAACGAAACAAAAACAAAAAGTTATTCAAACATATAATTGATGTAATGATGTAAAATGTTCGTCTGAAAATATCAGCTTCTCCATTTGATCTCACTTAAAAAAGAGAACAGAATGAAAATGAAAGTATGAAATGATATAAGTAAAACATTTAGGCATACAATTAAAATGCAAAACATTTAATAAAACACAAAAAAGAAAGGAAAACAAAAACACTTAGTGTAAATATTGTAAAGAGTAATACAATAGTATTACAAGAGATAATGAATAATGAGTAATATGAACGAACGATGATCGATGAGTGATGAGCTAGGCCAATGGCTCTAAATGCCGATTGCGTATTTTAAAACAAAACCTACATATTATATACCCTAACTTTATATATGACTAATAGTAATGTTTATAAATCTTAACATCTAACAACCGATTTTATGATTTCAACTGAATGAGAAAACGTTTATATATAATTTTACCAAAAACATTTTATCAGTTAGAACTGATAATTCGAATAGTTGTAAAAGTATATCAGGTCCGGTTCTAATTGAAAAGAAAACCCAAACATTTTAAAAACCATTTCATACCATAGTTGTATGATCTGCTAGGAGTGTTTACATATGGGTGTGTTTTCGTATACATGAAAATGATGTAAATGTTACGAAATATACATACCTATATGGATAATGTGAAAACAAAAGAAACATTTATATATGAATATTTAATATCAATGTGTTTAACTGAAATTATTTTCATTCTATTTGGCAAGCCAACAAGTAAATCAGAAATTATATACATACAATATAGTCATTTGCATTCATACGTATTTACATACATAAGGTCAGATTACCATGAACGATAAAAATAACATAACACAATGAAAAGAAAAAGAATAACTGAAATTACATCAAATATTATAAATAAAAAACTTGACATGAAGATTTAAATAAAAACCAAATCTAGAAGAGTTTTTTCTAACCTAAACCAAATGCCTTTTCAGTCTATATTTATAATTAAATTATAATTTCATTTATTTAATTATAATTCTAGCTTAGATATGTCTACCTACATAAACACATACACATATGATCTTATAAGTGTTAAAAATCTAGCTCAGCTTCTGATATAGGGTCGAGTATTTCTCCTGCTGCTAACGGAAAGAATTTACCCCAGGTTACTCTAACTTACCATTCTTAATTGGTTTGTATCATAAAAAGCTTTGAAATGCATAAGCCGTCTTTGAGGGATGTTAGGAACTTCAGCTTAGTCATAATGTCACACCTAGGAAATAGGTGTGTCTGGTTAATAAACAACGTTAATTGACGATTTTTTGTGGAGGACACATTTAGAGACATTATGCACATACTTAAATAGAGCTAATTAAATTATAATTTAATGTTACATTATTTTTCGTTAGGTTTTCATATATTTAGAGAATAATTTGTATATATTTCAATTTCTGTATACCGAAGCTTATATATTTGTATGTATGTATGTAGTTCATTCATATCTTCTGTGTTTATCATGCATACATACATATACAAATGTACTAAGCCTGGAATATGGAACTGCGAAACATACAGCGTCCGCATTTAATTCAAGAGTAGAGAAGTGTGAATAAAGAACTGAGTAAACAGCAGAGTCATCAAAAAACATAATATATATACGTATGTATATACATACATATATCAGCATGAACTGTGGGGTCGGTATCAAGTTGCAGTTGAATTTGATTATGCCTCGGCAAAAAATGTTCGTATGTCGCATATGCTTAAGCGCGTCATCTTACAGACGATTGGTAAATTTGCTTGGGGTAAAAGCTACAAGTATACGTATACATATGTACATATGTATGTATGTATGAATGGATATGAGTTTATATATATGTACATACATATGTATGTGAATATTTGTGTAAAACACGCTCATTAAGTTCCCGTTTCCCACATTAACAATGTAATCAGCAATGGCGTCAGAAGTCATTGATGACTACATATAAACACATACGTGTACACATACATATACATCTGTGTGTCAGCAGAAAGAAAGACTTCATTTTTGCACAAATGTATTTGTACATACATACATATGCATATGCATATTGTTGTTATTGCCATTCATTGCAGAAGTAAATAACGTCTTAAAAGATCTCATAAATTATCGCACACCCATAATAATCTGGCATACGAAAATTCCTGTGGAAAAAAATCCGGGCAAAAATAAGGTATATATCAACACACATCAGCATATAATTGAGATGAAATTTCCCAGCAAATATGTAAGACAAATGCAGAGCGAGAGCACGACAAGTCAAGTAAAGTCAAAGAGAGCGTGAGAGCATAGCATAACAGGGCAGCAAAGAGAGCATGTCCAAGAGGAGAACGCAAGTGTAGAGAGAGACTGAAAAATGGATATTTTAGCATAGGCAGTAGAAGGTGAATGCTCATGCGCAGAAAAAGAACCAAGAAACAGAAAAAAAGAAATGAAACCAACATACTGTAAACTGAATTTTAAAGCCAAATCCAAGTTGTTTACGGTCTTTGCTGGGAAAACGCGAACTCTGCACATAAACAAACACATCTTGTCGGCTGTCTGTAAACTTGCAGCCTTCTGGCCTCTCTGGCGACTGGTCAAACGCACACATACTTCGAAAACAGGCAGACACACATGCATACATATATACGTATGTATGTATGTATGTATATGCAGACATGCAAACACACAAATGCAATGGACATATGTATGTTTATATGTACATCCATATGTATTAAAAGACGAAACTGAAAAGTAAACAAAGAAGCAAATAAAAAAATACATACACATCACATAATTATGTGCGTGTGCATATGTGTATATGTGTGTGTATGAATTTATAACGCCGCCTTATTGCCGTACAATCTATGACTTCTAACAGCAAACGATATAGCACACACACACACACACACACACACACACACACACACACACACACACACACACACACACACACACTCGTGTACATATGTTTACTGTATAATGCATTTACATTCGTTTGTACATAAATACATTTATTTGTTGTCTATATGTATTTATGATATCAACAAGATCAGCGTTATTTACAATTTATTTGTTTGCTTCTCTTTTTATTTTCAAATTTTTAAATTTACTTTTCATTGCCAGGCTGCAGACCATTCGCCTCTTTCGAATACCACTTGAAAAGTTTTTTTTTCTTGTATCACCAAAACAATGTCCACATTGCACTCTGCCGGCGACGCTGAATTTGTCTTGATTCTGACCCACTCAAGCAAAAACTCACTCAAAAACTTGTTTTCTATCTCTGCATGGCATAGAGAGTAATGAACACGCATACATGCACATACACATACCTTTATGCACAAGTACATACACACATGCATACGTAGATATGTGTGGATCTGGATCTGCTTGCTGCTGTTACACAATTGCGTACTCTCAGCCTGCAGTAAAACTTTCTTAGCTGGACTTCTGTATATGATTTTCAAATAGGAGCGATAGGAAAAGAAATTGTAATTGAAGAGAAAGGTGTTGACTTATTATGTTGGTATTGATTTTATTTTGTGCTGCTTGATATGATAAGGTAAATTAAACTATAGTACAGCTTAGCTTTGCTGGCAGAGCATTAAGCGCAAGATCGTATATTTTTTTAGGACTTTCTTGAATCTAAGCTTCAAGGACAATATCTGTTCAGTTTTTGCGTTTGGCTACTAGCTTTAAATCCAAAAGATTCTTTTTAATTTTATCAAAAACTTAAAGAGCTGTGTATTATATTTGTTGTATAAAAATAAATGTTTATCAACGAATTATAAAATTGCGTTTTGCCTCATTTTTCACAAGATTTTATATAAGCGCAGCGCAATTAAAGCGGTTTTTATTTATATAAATATAATGTATGTATGTATGTATAAATATATATTCTCTTTTGGTCTTATCAATAATAATATGCATTTACTTTCCATCAATCATATGGATGAATAGAGGCTGCTGCTGCTGCTACTTGGCGACACTTGTTGGGACATTGCACTACAATAACAAATATTACAGATAAGAAAAATATATATTTATATACATGCACACATATGTATTTATATACAAATATATTAACCAATATAGATAGATATAAAATAGTTCATCATTACAGATAATCCTATGCATGTGTACATACATATGTACATATATACTCAATCTCGCCTTCATCTCACTCGCTATTTCGCTCAGTGTATTGCGTGTGTGTGAGTGTGTGTGTGTGGTTGTGTGGTTGTGGCAAGCTGAGTTATTTTGTTGCCTCTCGTATTTCAAGTGTTGCTTGTTGCAGCGTCGCGTCGCGTCGCCGCCAGCTTCACTCAGTTCTCGCTCAGCTCTGGACAACGTCGATCGGCAGTGGCAGCGGCAGCGGCAACGCGTCTTGAAATAAAACTAATTTTATTTTTATAGTATTGTTAATTGAGTTTTAAAGCTTTACAAAATCAAAACATTAACAGAGTGCATTAACTTCAGGTAACAGTGAACCTTTTGAGTGTTTATCTACCTCTCTCTCGCTCTCTTTCGTATTCTCTCTGGAGTCGTTTTTGTGTGTTGTTGTTAAAGGTGCGCGCGCCAAAGCAAAAAAAAAAAAAACATAAAAAAAAACAAGAAATTCTTGAGTAAAGTAAATAAAAAACAAATTTGACCAACTGGAAAGCAAACTGGAAGAAAATATATGTAAGGAATTCAATCAAAGAAGAATTAAAGAAAGCTAACTGGATTAGATCTGAGCTGAAATATGTTGCATTAAAAATTGAGTTAATGCTCGATCGCAAAGTGAACAGAGTATATTGGTTTTTTGTTGCTTATGACATGCTGGAAGGACTTGGAATTTGAAATGAATACTACATCCATGTGCTAATAAAGTATTTAGATGCTGAATATGAGGATTTCAAATGTATTTGTTATACAAATCTTTTGATAAGACTTGGAATGTAAAATTGTATACCTATATAAATTATATACAGAGTATATGTATTCAATCAGTAATAGTCCATATGACTTATTTTTACAAACTAAAACACTACAAATCAATTCTGAGGCTATAGATCAACCTGTTCTACAACCCCGCCCATTGTTCATAAAGTAAACATACAAAAATTCTACCGACTGCAACAAATGCAAGCACGATCATCGCTGGCCTATTTAAGAGAAAATAGACTTTCATCTGGTTATACAAACAAATGCAGTGCTCATGGCCTTCTTGGTCTCCCAACAGAAAAAGTTATCGATGCATAGAGATTTCTCTTGCTTGCATGTAATCCAATACGGATAGCGATAGCAACTGCCTGAGGCCAGGTAAAATGACAAGGGAGAGGAAAACATTAAGGCTAAGCAACAATAGGAAGGCCAATTGGAGACATGAATGGGTTGGAATCTAGACAAAAGAGGCAGAGGAAGGCCATTGATACACATACATATATAAGTATGTATATCTATCAGGATATTGGCAAAAGACAGTTGTGCTTTTCATGCTTTGTGAATTTTTCAATAGTCCTAAAAAGTTTCAAAGAAAACAGCCAGCCCAGTTAACAATAGAGCTGCAAAATAAACAAAACAAAGTTCGAATCATGCCATCCACATATGTGTGTGTGTGTAGGTGTGTGTGTGCAAGATAGAAGCTTGTATTTTGTAAAGGCAGCTCGAGCAGGGTTCAAGGTACAAGCATCTCCTAGTGGGGCACTTAAGACCAAAGTACTCTAAATTGTTTTAAGCTAATTGTGTGTAAACAATTTGTATAAAATATTTTTGCATTTGTCATGTTTTAGAATTGGACAAATAATGAGTAAACTTAAATATTTACTAGAGGTAAATAAATATTTATTAAAAAAAAAAAAAAAAAATAAAAAAATTTTTAAA